CCCCCCACCTACCCTTTTGCTTGGTCGCTGGCGGCAGAAGGCTGCGGGGAGAGCGTAAGGACCCCGCGTGTGCTGGGCGGGAGCCCGGCCGCCATCGAGGCTTGGCCGTGGCAGGTCAGCTTGCAGTACAGGAAGGAGCACATCTGCGGGGGCAGCATCGTCGACCCCGGCTGGGTCCTGACGGCAGCGCACTGCTTCAAGTGAGTCGGGCCACCTCCCCGCTGCGGCACGCCGGTCAGCCGGCACCGACGTGCCAGGGCTGGGTCGGGTCCTCGAGGCCAGGCTGAGTCCCGCTGGGTTGAAGCCACGTGCTGCTTCAGTGTCCCGTAGTTAAGAGGTCTGGGCAGGGCTTTGTGCCCCTTGGGGCGGCGCAGGTGGCTGATGCTGAGCAGGGCAGGGCACAGGCAGGGCTTTGCTGCCTGCCCCCGCAGCAGTGTCACGGAGGGGAAAGAGGGGAGCAAAACCAGACACGTCTGCGCACAGGAACAACCCCATCGTGGAGAGCTGGCGCGTGAAGTTCGGCTCCAACCTCCTGTCGGGCACCACCACCCTCGCCGTGGAGAAGGTCTTTCTGGCTGAGGTGACGCCTGCGTCTCCCAAGGACAACGACATCGCCCTGGTGAAGCTGCAGTCTCCCCTGCGTGTCTCAGGTGAAGCGCACAGCTCCTCGGAGCAGGAGTCCCAAGTGTCTTCTGATGGCACGGAGAAGCGGGCTGGGGAGAGCGGTGGCCCGCGTGGCAGCGCTCAGCGGGCACCGAGCGGAGGCGCGGAGGGAGAGCGGTGCCCACCCAAGGGCACCTTCCCCTTGAGCCTCCCCAGGCATCTCCTGCGCCTCCCTTCTCCTTTCCAGACAGCAGCAAGCCCATCTGCCTGCCCTATTTCGACGAGGAGCTGGTGCCGGGCACATCCCTGTGGGTGACGGGCTGGGGCTACACGCAGGAGCATGGTGAGCGGGACAGTGTGGGGGCGAGCACTCTGGCTGTCTGCAACAGGGGGCTGCCCCTGGGGGGCAAGAACAGAGCCCCCCCGCCCCCCAGCACCGCTGGCAGGAGGAGATGGGCTGGTGGGCTCCCTGCTCGCCTGGGGCTGCTGGGGGGACCCCACTGAGCGGCCCCGTTTTGGCGCAGGCAAACTGTCGGAGACCCTGCAGCAGGCGGAGGTGAAACTCATAGACAGGGAGAGCTGCAACCTGGCCGCCTACCACGGCGCCGTCACCGAAAAGATGCTGTGTGCCGGCCTGCCCCAAGGCGGGGTGGACACCTGCCAGGTGGGGGCTGCCTGCTCCAGAAAGAGGGATTGGGATGGTCTGCACCCACTGATGAAAAAGCCCCTTTCCTCCTGGGAAACGGCTGCGAGCCGTGCTGGGGGGCTCCTCAGCCCCGCTCAGAGGGTTTGTCCTTCACAGGGGGACAGCGGCGGGCCCCTGCTGTACTCGGGTGGGCACTGGCAGGTGGTGGGCATCGTCAGCTGGGGCCAGGGCTGCGGGACCCCCAGCACGCCCGGCGTCTACACCAGCGTCCGTGCTTACCTCAACTGGATCTACGCCGTCCGGAGGGTCAGTGCCGCGCTGCCGACACCGCTGCAGCAACACGCACGGCTGCTCTGTCACGCAGGTTTCGGGGGGCGGTGGGGAAGGGTCAGGACCCCCTCTGGTGGCTCTGCCCAGAGGGGAGCCGCGCTGGCAGAGTGCAGCTTCACTGCAGGGCAGGCTGTGGGGCTGCGGGCAGCCAGCCCCCTTTGGCTCAGCACGGGAGCTGAGCCGGCTCCTTAGAGACGTGACTCTTCTCCTCCTGGTTTCGGCTGCCCTTTCAAAGCTTGCAATCTCTTCTCTCCTTCCTTCCAGTCGGAGCTCTGAGACCT